AGAAATCTCCACTTTGGCCGGAGTTTTTAGAAATAATCGTTTTCAGTGATAAAAACGGCGTTTTCGTGTAAATGAGAGGGCAAACCGCAGAGAAATATCTACGTTTTCCCATTGTGTAAACAGGGCCTAAGACAGTAACAAAATGAGAGTCTATACATGCAAAACGAAGCATTGAGAACTTTGTAAGTGTACAGACGTTTAATAAGAAGATCCTTTATAAAGACAGTTCACTTCATGTATACAGGCGGCGCCATCTTGGAAAACAGTCACTACAAGTCAAACCACGAACGTCGTGCTGAGTGATCTGAACTGTATGAAGTTCAGTGAACTTCTGAACTGTATGAACGGCGTTCGGGGATCCGTTTTCTAAGATGGCTCCTGTCTGTATACACGAAGTGCACTGTCTTTATAAAGTATCTTCTTATTAAACGGTCTGTACACTTACAAAGTTCTCAATGCTTCGTTTTGCATGTATGGACCCCCATTTTGTTACTGTGTTAGTGTGGGGCTATTTTGAGCCTTCTTAGTGGTACGTATAAACTAGCGATTTATTTTTACTTAGTAAATGCCCCCAGTACTAGCATTATATGCTAAACAATTTTTATAGATAAAACTCTTTACATTCGATTATCATGAAAACAAATCTCAGAGAACGATTGACTTGGTACCAATGTTTTATTAGACCAAAGGTTCATTTTGTGCCGGAGTTCTCCTTTAATGCCATTTAAAGAGAATATAACTGAAAGAATAAAGAGTACACAAACTTGGGATGCATTTAATTGTTTAAAAATTCAATGTCTTCACATGTACTTGAAAGGAAACCAATCTGATAAATAATGACATAAATTATTTATGCTTATATTTTTTTTTTTCAGTTGTTGTATTGTTAAACTTAAAATTTACTAGCATTTTTTGCATTTCATTATACTAAATGTTTTAGTTAATGTAAATGCGTGTGCAGGACATTGGCTCGGATACAGTTTATACATTAAACATTAAACTTATACATAGGACATTGGATACAGTTTAGTTATTTTGTCAATAAATATCAGTGTTAAATCACTATAGACTGAGTGACACATAACGGAAATCCAAGTTTTGCCCACAAATGTCTCTCATACAATGAACAATACATGGTATATTACTATGATTTCATCCATGAATCTAGATATGGACTGTCTAAAGCATTGGATGAAGGTGTCAGAGGGTGTGATTGCAGATGGATGCTGTATTTTGGTGATAGTGAACCTCCTTTCTCTTGCCTTTATGAGGGTGTTGTCTCCTCAAACGCACATGATTAATGTACTCTGGGCTTTAGCCAGACTCTGTTGTGCAACACAGACATGGTCTATTGACTGTATCTGAATCATGCAGATATCACGAAAGGGCTGCTTAAACTCATGTGAACTGCTTTATATTGTAATGGTTGAAATAGAATCATATTCCTCTACTTGCCCCAACCTTTTCTCTTTTTTTGCAATCGACAGCTCCTTGGATGTGTGCAAGACATGTTAACATTTAGATTGACATACCTGAAACACAGCAGCTATTCATTACATTTAAAGGGATACTCCACTTTTTTTTGTAAATAGGCTCATTTTACAACTCCCCCAGAGATAAACAGTTGAGTTTTACCATTTTTGAATGTATTCAGTCGATTTTCTGATATTTAGAAGAATATCAGTAACCAGACAAGTTCTGGTCTCATTGACTTCCATAGTATATTTTTTTCCTATGGAAGTCAATGAGACCAGAAACCGTCTGGTTACTGATATTCTTCTAAATATCAGAAAATCGGCTGAATGGATTCGAAGACAGTAAAACTCCACTGTTTAACTCTGAGGAGTTGTAAAATGAGCCTATTTTAAAAAAAGTGGAGTATCCCTTCAATGAAAATGCTAAATTACTAACGTTGAATTAATTTGTTTTGTTCTACAGTTGCGCAATGGTTATCTGATCCATGTGTCAATGAAAACAAATCGATCCTATTTACTACGTTGGTGTTTCCTTTTTAAAATATTGTGACATAACATGCATTGTATTATAATCTCAGATTTGCTTTCCTGTTTATGTCAATATTTTAGATTTTAATAAAGAATGTAAGACTTTGGAGAAAGAGAAAAAGACAGCATGTTATTTAGCACATTCACAGCATTTCGTTTGACCTCACGGTGACACTATCCTTCTCGAACATGGGACTGCAGACTTTTCAAAACAGTCTGTCTGACAGTGTTGTTCTTCATGAAAATGACCTGCACATCTTGCATGCGAGTACAGAGGACAGATTCAAGATAACCTGATATTTCAACTGTTAAACTGTAAAGACCTGTTCACACTGAGGGCGATAGCTGTAAAGATGCACTCTAAAAATGCTGGGTTATTTCAATCCAAATTTGGGTCAAATATGGACAAACCCAAATGTTGGGTTAAAAATGCAAGTAAAAAAAATATGGTTGAAAGTGAAAGTTGGAAAAAAAAGTAGAAAAAAACATTTGGGTTAAAACAACCCAGCATTGGGTGTACGCCACATTAAAAAACGGCAAAACAGTATTTATTGTTGAGTTATGTAAATAAAACGGATATAATTTGAAATCTGACCCTTTGTAAAGTACAATGCTTTTTATGATTTATTGGATGGCAGGCAACGTATTGTTCCTTTCATTCATCACACTCTAAACAATGATGGGTTGTTTTAACCCAAATTTGGGTCAAATATAGACAAACCCAAATGTTGGGTTAAAAATGTAATTTAAAATGTTTCACCCAACTTCAGCTTTCACTTTCAACTGTACATTTTAATTACATTTTTAACCCAACATTTGGGTTTGTCCAAATTGGACCAAAATTTGTGTTGAAACAGCCCAGTATTGTTTTTTTTAGAGTGCAGTTTAAAACAGCATAGACCAATGATTCTTGAGATATAAGAGGCGGTTCATTAAAAAAAAAAAAAAAACATATTTAGTCAGTATTGCCTCAGTACGAGATTTCAATGTTGATTTATATAAAGTTGTATTGATTACATTAATGTACTGAGGGTATTTTCATTGGCTTTTATCTGTATGACAGGTTGTCACTTGTCAAGCCATTTTCCACAAAGAATCTTTTGATCATTGCTTCCCTTTAAATGATTGCCTTTAGGTCATTAATCTCCGTAGTATACGTGTTGACAAACCCTCTTAAGCTTTACACTTTTGCGGTTAAATAGTCTCAGACACAAGTCTTTTATTTTTCTAAAACCTAGAGTAACTTTATTAAACATGTATTTTTCTGTAAAGGACAGTGACTTTTAGAGTGGATTTAATTTAGGCATTGGATTTAAACAGTCAACACATGTTAAGACAGTGCACTATACAGTGTATTTTTCATGTGATGTAAATAAACAAGAACTTTAATCAGTGACAAATGCTAACAGAAAAACTTCCCAAACTAGTACTCCTTCAAAGCATTTACAGCCTATTTAAACACTTAAAAATGCATGATGCCTTTGCTTTAGATAACAAATATGACACCAAATTAATATTAAAGGAGTAGTTCACTTTTGAAAAAAACTTTTGCTGATAATTTACTCACCCCCATGTCATCCAAGATGTCCATGTCTTTCTTTCTTCAGTCGAAAATAAATTAAGGTTTTTGATGAAAACATTCCAGCATTTTTCTCCGTATCCCATCTTTATAAGTTGAAATGCTCGCCTTGCTCTGTTCTGTGATGCACGTTTGTGACTCTCCTGTTTGAACTCGTTCATCAAAATGAACAAATCTTTTTCCGAGTCAATTCGTTCCTTTCGTTTGTTGAATGAACCAAATGACATGAAAAAAGATTCGTTCATTTTGATGAACGAGTTCGAACAGGAGAGATACAAACGTGCGTCACAGAACAGAGCAAGGCAAGCATATTATGCTTATAAAACTTAAACTTTGTTTTTTTGTATTTTTGTTTTTAAATGAGTGATCGTTTCGCTTGATAAGTCCCTTATTCATTGTCTGGAATCGTTTAAAGCCCTTTGAACAGTTTGCAGTTTGCACTGAAACTGTCTTTTGGACCTTGAACCGTTTGGTTCCCACTGAAGTCCATTATATGAAGGAAAATGCTGGAATGTTTTCATCAAAAACCTTAATTTCTTTTCGACTGAATAAAGAATGACATGGACATCTTGGATGGCATGGGGGTGAGTAAATTATCAGCAAAAGTTTTTTCAAAAGTGAACTACTCCTTTAAAACATTTCATTAATGGAAGATTGTTAGGTTTTAATTACAAGTAAAAAGTTATTGGACACTTTCTGAATATGTTCATCCACTTAAAGGGATAGTTCACTTTGAAATTAATTTTTGGTATGTTTTAGCTTACCTCAGGGACATCCAAGATGTGGATGTCTTTGCTTTGTTTCCATAGTAGTAGTATGCTCTTTGAGGTGGTGACCATAGACCTCCATTATATGACAGACACGCATGGTTCGACCTAAAAATATCAAAATTGAAAATACTGCGGAAACAAAAACACCTACATCTTGGATGGCCTTCAAAGTGAACTATCCTTTTAATCTGTTTGCAGATGCCACTTTTTGGTTTGATCGTTTGTTATCTAAAGCAATGCGACTCATAGATTTTAAGTGTGTATTACATTCGCACTGTATAACAGGACAGTTATGACAACAAATGAGAGAAACTTAGTGAATTGTCTTTGCTTTGGCTTAATGTCATTATTGCAATGATTGATAACCAGCATCACAAAATCAACATTCCTCTTTTGGTTTCATGGTCGTTCAACGGTTTATGACGTTTTCTGGCTTTATAATCCTGCTGGAGGAATAGCATTGTTTGCCATGTTCCCTTCTGAAAAAATGCACTTTGGCTGTTCATGTCTCCACAGTCACTGATATATCAGTACATGCCACCACTTAAATTGTTTCCTGAGATCCACGGCTGGAAGCAGAACATATAAGGATAGCACGGGTAAGACTGGTATAAGGGAGGGACAGACGGATTGGGAAGCTCCTCTGCGTTATATTGCCTCTGGTCGTTTCTCACCAGTACTTTCACTGCCACTCTCTTTGCCAGGGCTGTTGTAGGAGTCGTCGCGAGCTCGGCTGCCATTTGCCGCCGTTTAGTTTTGTATCTCCTGTTCTGGAACCAGATCTTCACCTGTGTCTCGGTCAGTTTGAGCGCTCCTGCCAGGTCAGCCCGCTCCGGGCCAGACAGGTACCTCTGCAGGTTAAAGCGACGCTCCAGCTCGTACACCTGTGCATGAGAAAACGCTGCCCGGGACCTTTTCTTGCTTGATTTGGAGTGGTTTTCTTCAAAGTTGCAGCTCTGTGGTTTCTGTTGGTCAATGGTGTGATCTGTATAGATGGACAAAAACAGGTTTAGGCTCTGTTCTTGCTATAGACCATGTGACAAATTAAAAAAATAGCCCTACAATTGACCAGTGACCATTTAATAACTTAATAGGCCTATGTTGACTATGTTGGCCTATGTGTATTTGAGGAGATATTTACTGTAAAAAAAAAAAAAAAAAAAATGAGGATTTCTTTTAGAGGAGAGCAGGGAGTGTTTTTTGTTTCAACTTTAACTATGTCTTAAATGTTGATATCTTAAATATATAAACTGTGTAAATCAATGTAAAGGACAAAACATGCTATCTACACTACAATTTAAAACATGGGTATTTTAAATGTTGTGATTTAATTTATTATGCATTTATTATGATTTATTAGCCTCCCATTTAATTTAAACACTTTAATTCAAAACGGTCACAATGTTTTTTGTAACTTTAAAAAGAAAATACAATTAGAAACAAATACAGAAATACATAAAACATGGGCTAGCAATTAAAAAGAGTTTGTGCAGGTTTCAATATTTCTTGTTTTGTTTTAAATGTGAAAATCTTGTTTTTACAAATTAAACAGAAGAATCTGATAAAGTTGGTGATACCAGTTCTGTCCTTTAATGTTGACCAAAAAAAAGCATAAATCTAATTATTTCTCTTTTTAAAAACATTTACAGGTAAAACAAAAACGGTTTAAAGCACAATGTCATGTCTGTCTTAGTTAGATTTGTGATCATGGATGACAGAAATGGTATCATGTTAACAATAATTTCTACTGAACCCATAAATATTAAACAAAAATAAGACGGTATATATAAATATTTTTGCCACAACTCACGATGTTTTAGGTTTTAATAGAGGTTAGCTTTTGCTATTAGGCTATGTAGCTATTATATGGTATGCAATTGTATGATCTGCTTTTTTTATATTTGTGATGAATGAACATGTTTTGAATGAAAATGTTGAAACTGGAATTGAGTGATGCGTAATATTATTTTTATATATATATATATATATATATATATATATATATATATATATATATATATATATATATATATATATATATCACAATAAATGAAAGTGTAAAATGTCGGGTACTGGCAACAGCACGCTTTGCGTTTACGTTAATGTATATATTTCGTGCATAGCCCTTTTTGTGTTCTAAAATGTAGCAGACAAAAATATAGCCTATACATTATATTTTGTACTTATAAAGAAAAAAAACAACCCGAGCAACAAAGTTTGAAACCTGTTCAACAACGCACTGCCCGTATGCAAAAAATATAACGTATAGGCTATAGGCTGATTTAAAGTCTCACCGTGTCGTCTTTCTAGTGAATTGTCTTCTCCTCCTGTTGACTCTTCCTCGCATGAATGTTGGTCAGAGGATGAAGAGTCCAGCACGAGCACACAGGAAGAGATGCTCTCAGCTCCAGTGTTCCCGACCGGCAAAGATGAGCTGGAACAATCCCGCGCTTCTGCGTATTCCTCATCAAGACGGCAATGTTTCTCGCAGTCAAGTCCTCGGTTTAATATGTTGTGAATGGAAAATGAATTGCGGTTATTCGCCATTTAAAGCAATTGCATAACCTGCTCGTCAATTTCCGATGACCTGCCGTTTTTGCGCTTCTATCTGGGAAGCTCCTGCGCTTTCATGGCGATGGATAAGTCCGCAGTATAATGGGGTTTCCTCTTTGCGTGTCATTTAATTGTTGCAAAACTTCTTCAGACCCAATCAACAAGCAAAGTGTCAGAAAATGTAATGTGCGCATCAGTCCCCTCTGTTCTCTTTCCAGACGCGGTGCCAATGGGCTTTCTGGAGCGCTTCGCTCCTCCCTCTCAAACAGACCTGTAGAAATAGAAAACCTATCGAAATCGGGTTACTGCTCTTACTGGCTTTGTTAGTTTGTTTGGACATTGTTGTGTTTCGATGACAAAGAGGGATGTTCGAGTCTATAAAAATTAGAAATGTTTTTTTTATTTTTTATTTTTTTAGATGTAGACCTATTTAAAAAAAGAACGTTGTAGGAGGCTAGGTTATAGGCTATAGCATAGTATACATCCTTAATAGCTATATTATTTATAGCCTAATATGTTTTTGAAAATTAATCATTTATAACATTTTCTTTAAAAAAAAAAAAAACCAACAACAACAAAAAGCAACGGCAAAAAAAAAAACCTCTAGAGTGATTAAAAAGTATCCATTCAAATATTTGAATAGGCCTACAGCGAGTCTGCACATCATCAATATAAAAAAACAAACAAACATCAAACATAATTTTCAAGATTTTATGTAGCCTAACTGTAGATTAGCTACTCAGTTCGACATGAAAACGTGCTTTAATAACTATGGTCAAGTCAACATAAACGTCTGCTTGATGGATACGCAACACCGACTTTTACATAGGCTAATTGTTTAAACTTGTGTCAACAATCAAACAACGTATGCCAGCATTTTTCAGGAATTTCACATGATTTCTATGCTTGAACAATTAACAAAGCCAGTAATGAATTAAAGAATGTAATGTTAATTAGAGGTGCAATCAAGTCATTTTGAATGAATTTCATAATGTTTACACTAGGCCTATAGCTATCTATATATTCTACATAGTGTAAAATACATATATTGTGACATTCATTATATAATTTTTGTAGAGCCTGTGTAGCTACATCTCAAAAACAGCACTTAATATTTAATGGTTTGTTATTTTGTTAATGTTCAAAATTTACATTGCTCATTCGATGACTAGAATTATTCAAATTCGTTCAGCTTATTCAGGCTTTCGTTTCTCATCTGATGTAGCCTAATGCAGTTTAAGGCATGTGTTTTATTTTATTTTTTTTAATTTTTTGCATTCATTGTATAAGGCAATGAGATGTGTGTGCTAGCCTACTTGTCATTTTCTTCAAATTACGTTGTTCTAAAACACATTTTTGACCCATCAAAAACCAGTCAAAAGTAGCAAGTGCGGCAAAGCCAACATTGTATGGGTCAAAATTATTGATTTTTCTTTAATGCCAAAAATCATTAGGACATTATGGAAAGATCATGTTCAATGAAGAAGGACAACTTTAAAGGCGATTTTCTCGATTTTTTTCCAGCCTCAGATTCCAGATTTTCAAATAGTTGTGTCTCGGCCAAAGATTGTCCTATGATAACAAACCATACATCAATGGAAAGCTCATTGTATAGCTCAAGATGAAGTATACAGTACATCTTAATTTCAGGAAATTAACCCATGTGATTTTTTTTCTTTTGTGATACAGGGTCACATTTGTTCTTTGAAACTGAATCCGTCTGAAACCTTTTCAGCTTTTCTTTTCCCTCAAAATGCTCTTTTGTAAATTGCAAAGGTTAATTTATTAGTTTAGCTAATTTTATTATAGGCTACTGATCATACACTAACTATATTTTATCAACCATGTTTAAATAGCCTAGGCTTATATCTTCAGTGAAATGTAATTTATTTTATAAACCTGCTTGTTTAACTTTTTCATCTTGAATATGGTTTTTATTATTGCTCCAAATGCTTATTTTTCGTAAATTTGTAAAGCACATAAAATGTGAGATTCGATTTCAAATATCTTTCGCCAAAACGAACGCTCTTTATTTATACTTTTTTTTAGGGGGGGGGGGGGGGGGGGTCTCTCTTGGTTCCTGGCAGGATTTCTAATGAGAATAGAACATTTAGGTCTAGTTTACAGCAAAATTCCTACGAACGTATGTGCGCATTTCGATATGACATTATAAGGTAGATCTCAGTTTGTGAAATGATGGTCAAAGCTATTGTTCTCCCGTTAGTGTTTATGAAATACGATTGTAGCGCCTCCATGTGGCCCGCTGGTGTTCATCTGCTGTCTGTGTGTTTGAATATCTGGTTGACCATAGAATCTAGCTATGTTCCAAGAAATGGATTTTCCTACATTCCAAAAACGCCACAGCTTTACTTAAAAAAATCCTTTTTTAAATAAAAAGGTGAAATAGCCAAGTGTAGGCTATTGTAGGCTACTGATTATGCTTTTAATTGGGAGTGTTTTTTTTTTACTCACCCTAAACTGATTGGAGAATATATTGCATACCTCGTATAAGACATGTGTAAAGGTATAGGCAATTTCCGGAGAGGCAAGCAATAGTGAGCTAGCTTTGAAAGCATGACATCACGTCCTCCCTAGCGTGTACAAAGCCACTGCTTTGCAACAGTCGAACCAAAATTTATTGAGACACCTTCAACATTTAACACATTATCACAGTTCACTAGTGGTAATAAAATATGACAAGAACTCAAATCAAGTTGATATTTCACTGGTTTTGGCCAAACTTCTGTTAGACTGATGTCTCAAAAATGTTGAATAGCTGTCAGCTTTACAATTTAAGTACACAATTAGATAATACCAATTTAGCTCAACCAATGAGCAAGTAATGCTTACTTTTGTTCAGTCTGTGAAACAACACATTCTCATCCCAAGATGTCATCTAAATGACGCTTTTGACCATACGTCAACATCCGACGTTTTAGGGCACCCTTTAACGTCAGTTAGATGATGCTATATCCTCCTAGGGCGTCATTTAACTGACGCTTTACCTTTAGCGTCAGTCACATGACGCGGGTAGGTTTAGGTCTGGGGTTAGATTGCGTCATCAACTGACATTAAAATTTGTGTGTATAATATATCAAAGTTTACTTTCTTTTGCTATCCTCACTTACATAAATGAACTATTAAGGGTCCTGCACCCACTAGTAAACAAATATCAAAAATTATATAGTAATGTTTTGGTTTGACTCTAAATGCAGGGAGCAAACAAAAGAGATGGTATTAAATTACCTCATGTCTCAAAGCACATAATAATGAACATAAACAACTTTAAGAGCACTAACCTACCACCTGCAGCAGATTCATTTCAGTGTTGATAGTGTTTCCATTGAAACGCATAAATTGCTCCGAGTATTATGTCATGTTTCCATCTCTTTAAAAATTACTGTTGGCATGAAGTGAACGCAGCACTGGTTTTGGTTCGGGAGAAACTGTAAAAGGTGGCTGGATGTTTTGGTGCTCGTGCTGATGAAGTGTAATGTCAAGAGTAATGCAGAGGTATGAAAATACAAAGGTCGACAGGCAGGACATCATATCATTGCATTCAGGTCAAATGAACATTTTACTGTCCTACGCCTTCCACAGGCACATATAAATACATTAAGACCACTTAATTTAGTGATTGCCATCAGTATGTGAAGGGTCTGCACACCAGCATAACAAAATGTTTCTGGAACAAATCACCTACCCTAAAAGTTCATTCTTTACTTACTTAGAAATATGACCAAAATCTTGTGGCGCTTGTATATATTTGGTCTAATGTCCCACATAATAGCTCACAAACCAAACTATGCCAGATCTTAAGTGGTTTGTGTTTAAAACAATGTTTAACAGGATGCTATTCTGTTGTTTTTCACTTCCACCACGGCCAACCAAATAAATATTACTCTGCTTTTGTTTATGTTGAGCAGCTAAGCTATATCGCCATATTGGGAGGTTTGAAATGTTGTAAGCGTTTTTCACTCTGAAGAAACATTTGAATTGATTAGGTCAGTACTAAGAATCATCCTGGGATTCAGTGGCCAAGTTTGTTTATTGTTCAAATGTTTCTGAAGAATAGAATGAAAAAAAAAATGTTGAAAAAAAGGGTCGACTTTCACGTTCATCATATTCCCAGGACCCTAAATAAAGCATTACAATCATGGCAGGTAAGCCTATTTTTAGGCCTATTATTTTGTTTCAATATTTAACATTGACCAGAGCAAAAGTGTGTTTGGTAGGGAGATCGGAAGTGGCGTGACCAGCAGGGGGCGCTTTTCACGTCAGTTTAAAGGCTGACAGTATAAATTACATATGATAACACTCAAAGCTGTGGTACTCAACCTGGATTTCTCGTAAGATATGCCATATATCACACAAGAGATTTCTGACTAAATCAAGACCTGTTAATAATCCTTTATCTGCAAATGTAGGCTATTTTCTCCCCATAAAACGCAAATGAGTTGTTCATTATTTGTCGTTAAAGTTGTGATGTTTGAGATCAATAAAATGATAAGGGGCTAAACACAACCAAATGCTGTTATGTACGCTTATGCTGCCGTGTTCATCACACATTCACCTTTTTTTTTTTTCCAATTTGCAACCACTGGTTTCAATGCTAATCTATGCTAATTGCATTTCACTTTAATGTCTTTTAAATTTTACGCCTCTTATTTACTTAATTTCTCCTTGTCCTCCTTGGACAATCACTTGTTTGCCTGGTTTGCAGTTCAGAAAGTCCGTGGCCTTATAGCTTTGACCTCATGTTCTCTTGAAATAATTCTTGTGCTCGAAATTAGCTTTTCCTTCCTTTTCTTATCTATCTACAGTCCATATAGATATTTTTTCACCTTCCTAACTGATTTGATTTCTGATTCTCAGAACTGTGCAATAACGTTCTCTTAAAGTTGTTTTTAGTAACGTTAATAGAACGTTTCTTCAAAGTTATCTCTTTAATAACATTCTGGCAACGTGAGCACAAAAACAAAACATAGCCACATCGGTGCAACGTTTTCCCTCAAACGTTTTAGATAATGTTACTTTTTGTTTCATAATGTTGAGAGAACGTTTTAAAAATAACAATCCCATAATGTTTGCAAAATCAAATCTGGGCGTTTTGAGCGTTCAGTGAACAGTGTGAAACATTTTAGCAAACCGTTCTTAAAACACGTTTTGTTAGCTGGGCTAACACTGAATAAATTCAGAATTAGGCTCTTAATTT